AATTGTTTTAAGGAAGGTTGGTAAACTACCAGAGAACACAGATAGACAATGCAACAAAATCAGGAAAACAACACAGGAACAAAATGAGAAATTCAACAGAGATAGAAATCATCAAAAAGAACCAAACAGAAATTCCGGAGCTGAAGAATACAATGAATGAAATGAAAAATCCAAGAGACAGCATCAACATCAGGCGTGAACAAACAAAACAGAAGAAAAAAATCTGAGAACTCAAAGACAGGTAATTTGAAATTATCTAGTCAGCGTGTCTGAATGTATAAAAAACAATATCAAACAATATGCTGCTTACAAGAGACCTGCTTCGGCTTTAAGGATACACATATCTTTAAAGTGAAGGGATGGAAAAAGGTATTTCATGCAAGTAGAAACCAAAAGAGAGCAGAGGTAGCTACACTTATGTTAGATAAAATACACTTTAACTCAAAAGCTGTAATAAGAGAGAAAGAAAGTCATTATATAATGATAAAAGGAGCAATTCATCAAGAGGATATAACAATTATAAATATAGATTCATCCCTTGGTATCTGCAGGGGATTTGTTTGAGGACCTGCTACAGATACCAAAACCCACAGATGCTCAAGTCCTGTAGTCAGCCCTCCACATCTGCGAATTCAACTAATCCCAGATCATGTAGTACTGCATTTACTGAAAAAAACCACATTTAAGTGGACCTGCAGAGTTCATATCTGTGTTGTTCAAGGGGTCAGCTATATATGCACCCAACATGAGAGCACTCAAATATGTTAAGCAAATATTAACAGATATCAAAGTAGAAACAGACAGCAGTGTGGTAATAGTAAGGAACTTCAATACTCCACTTTCAACAGTGCATAGATCATCCAGACAGAAAATCAGTAAGGAAACACTGGATTGAACCATACTTTAGATCAAATGCACCTAACAGACATACACAGAACATTCCATCTAATAGCAGCAGAATACACATTCTTCTCAGGTACACATGGAACATTCTCCAGGATAGATCACATGCTAGGTCACAAAAAAGTCTTAACAGATTTAAAAAGATTAAAGTCATATAAGTATCTTTTCTGACCACAATGGCATAAAACTAGAAACCAAACACCGGAAGAAAGCTGGAAAATTAACAAATATGTGGAAATTAAACAACACACTCCTGAATAACCAATGGGTCAAAGAAGAAATGAAAAGGGAAATCAAAACATATCTTAAATGAAAACAGAAATACAACATACCCAAACTTATGGGATGCAACAAAAGCAGCTTTAAGAGGGAAGTTTATAGCAATAAACATCTATATTAAGAGAAAAGAAAGATCTCAAATAAACAACCTGACTTTAAACCTCAAGGAACTATAAAAAGAACAAACTAAGCCCAAAGTAAGCAGAAGGAAGAAAATAACAAAGATCAGGGCAGAAATAAATGAAGTAGAGACTAGAAAAATGATAAAACAAATCAATGAAACTAAAGCTGGTTTTTTGAAAAGATAAACAAAATTGACAACCTTTACCTGGACTAGCTAAGGAAAAAAGAGAGAAGATTTGAATAAATAAAACCAGAAATGAAAGAGGAAACATTACAACTGACACTGCAGTAATACAAGGGATCATGAAAGACTATTATGAACAATTATATGCAAACAAATTAGATAATCTAAAAAATGGATAAATTCCTAGACACATATAAACTACCAAGGCTGAATCATGACAAAATAGAAAATCTGAAAAGACCAATAATGAGTAAGGAGATTGAACCAGTAATCAAAAATCTACCAATAGGGCCTCCCTGGTGGCGCAGTGGTTGGGAGTCCGCCTGCCGATGTGGGGGACGCGGGTTCGTGCCCCAGTCCAGGAGGATCCCACATGCTGTGGGTGAGTTCTACCAGATATTTAAAGAAGAATTAATACCCATCTTTCTCAAATCCTCCAAAAAAATTGAAGAAGAGAAAACACTTCCAATATCCCTGAATAACACAGATGCAAAAATCCTCAATATAATACTAGCATGGCAAATTTAACAGCACATTAAAAGAAGCAGATACCATGATCAAGTGGAATTTATCCTTGGGATGCAAGGATGGTTCAACATATGCAAATCAATAAATGTGATATACCACATTAACAGAATGAAGGATAAAAATTATATGATCATCTTAATACAGAAAAAGGTTTGACAAATTCATGATAAAAAAAAAACTCTTAACAAATTACTTATAGAAGGAACGTAGCTCAACACAATAAAGGCCATATATAACAAGTGCACAGCTAACATCATGCTCAAAAGTAGAAAACTGAAGGCTTCTCCTCTAAAATCAGGGATAAGACAAGGGTGCCCACTCTTGCCACTTGTATTCAACATAGTACTGGAAATCCTAGTCAGAGCAATTAGGCAAGAAAAAGAAATGAAAGACATCCAAAATGAAAAGGAAGAAGTAAAATTATCTGTTTGTAGATGACATGATCTTGCATATAGAAAACCCTAAAGACTCCATCAAAAACTGTTAGAACTAATCAATGAATTCAGTAAAGCTATAGGATTTGAAATCAACAAACAAAATCAGCTGCATTTTTTACACTAATGATGAACGATCTGAAAGAGAAATTAAGAAAACAATCCCTTTTGCAACAGCTTCAAAAGCAATAAAATACAAAAGAATAAATTTAACCAAGGAGGTTAAAGATCTGTACACTGAAAATTATGAGACACTGATGAAAGAAATTGAAGACTCAAATAAATGGAAAGATATCCTTTGTCCTTGGGTTGGAAGAATTAATATTTTTAACATGTCCATACTGGGGCTTCCCTGGTGGTGCAGTGGTTAAGAATCCGTCTGCCAATGCAGGAGACACGGGTTCGAGCCCTGGTCTGGGAAGATCCCACATGCCGCGGAGCAATTAAGCCCATGAGCCACAGTTACTGAAGCCTGTCCACCCTAGAGCCTGTGCTCCGCAACAAGAGAAGCCACCACAATGAGAAGCCTGCGCACCACAATGAAGAGTAGCCCCCGCTTGCCGCAACTAGAGAAAGCCCGCACGCAGCAACGAAGACCCAACACAGCCAAAAATAAATAAACAAAATAAAATTAATTAATTAATTTTTAAAAATGTCCATACTACGCAAAGTGATCTACCGGTTCAATGCAATCCTTATCCAAATTCGAATGGCATTTTCACAGAAACAGAAAAAGAAAAATCCCAAAATTCCAACTGAATTACAAAAGACCATGAATAGCCAAAGCAATCTTGAGAAAGAAGAACAAAGCTGGAAGCATCACATACTTGATTTCCATCTATATTACAAAGCTATCATAATCAAAACAGTATGGTAGCTGCATAAATACAGTTGCATAGACCAGTGGAACAGAATAGAGGGCCCAGAAATAAATCCAGGCATATATGGTCAACCAATCTTTTACAAGGAGACCAAGAACACACAATGAATAGTCTTGGTAAATAAACACAATAAACAGTCTTGGTAAAACTGGATATCTACATGCAAAAGAATGGAATTGCATCCTTATATACACCATTCAAAAAAATTAACTCAAGGGCTTCCCTGGTGGCACAGTGGTTGAGAGTCCGCCTGCCGATGCAGGGGACACGGGTTCGTGCCCCAGTCCAGGAAGATCCCACATGCCGTGGAGCGGCTAGGCCCGTGAGCCATGGCTGCTGAGCCTGCGCGTCTGGTGCCAATGCTCTGCAAAGGGAGAGGCAAAAAAAGTGAAAGACTCGCGAAAAAAAAAAAAAAAAAAAAAAAAAAAAATTTAACTCAAAATGGATTAAAAATTTAAACATAAGACCTGAAACTGTAAAACCCATAGAAGAAAACATAGAGAAAAAGCTCCTTGACATTGGTCTTGACAATGATTTTTCGGATATGACACTAAAAGCAAAGGCAACAAAATGAAAAATAAACCAGTAGGACTATATCCAATTAAAAAGCTTCTGCACAGCAATGGAAACAATCAACAAAATAAAAAGGCAACCTACAGAATGGAAGAGAATATTTTCAAACCATATATCTGTTAAAGAGTTAATATCTAAAATACATAAGAAACTCATTTAACTCAATAGCAAAAAAAAAAAAAAAACAACCAAATAATCTGACTAAAAAAATGAGCAAAAGTCCTGAATAGACATTTTTCCAAGAAGACATACAAATAGCCAACAAGTATGTGAAAACATCACTAATCACCAGAAAAATGCAAATCAGAACCACAATGAGATATCACCTCACACCTGTTCAGATGGCTATTATAAAAAAAGACAAGAGGTGACCAGGTGTCAGCAAGGATGTAGAGAAAACGACACCTTTGTACACTGTTGGTGGGAATATAAATTGGTATCGCCGTTCTGAAAAACAGTATGGAGATCCCTCAAAAAATTAAAACCAGAACTACCATATGGAAACAAACTAAGTGTCCATTGATGTATGAATGGATAAAGAAAGTATGAAATGGAATATTATTCAGCATAAAAAAGAAAATTCTGCCATTTGAGACAACATGGATGAACCTGGAGGATATAATACTAAGTGAAATAAGCCAGGCAGAGAAAGACAAGTACTGTATGATCTCACTAAATGTGGAGTCTAAGAAAAAAAAGTTGAATATATAGAAACAGAGAGTAGAATGCTGGTTCTCAGGGGTTATGGGGTGGGAGAAATCTGAACATATTGGTCAAAGGATATAAATTTTCAGCTATAAGATGAATGAATAAGTTTTGGGGATCTAATATACAGTATGGTGACTACAGGCAATAATACTGTATTATATATTTGAAATATGCTAAGAGAGTGAATCTTATGCATTCTCACCACAAAACAAACAAAACTCCTCAGTATCTGCATTATGCGATGATGTATATATAATTAACAAGACTTAAAGGTACAACTACTGTGTATACCCTCTTAAGGCTACACTTTACTGTAGTTAGCTTTCCTAAATAATTCTTAATATACCAACTTCAGGTTCTGTGTGTGTGTTTTTCTGATATCATTACCTGAATTGCTGGTCTAGCTTTTCAGCCACAAAATCCTGTCTCTCTTTTTCTTTCTTCTCTCTTAATAATCTGATTTTTTCTCTCATTCTATCTTTTTTCTCCTCAATTGTTTCTTCTTTCAATTGCATTTCAATAAAATATTCATTTTCTTCTGATGCTAAAAGTTCACGTAACCTAAGTTCACAAAACAAAATGACAAGAGAAAAGGAAATTAAAACTATCATGCCACATGTACCATTTCACTAACTGATTTTTATTTTGTTAAATCTGATTTCAGAAGTACACATTCAGTCATAAATTTTTTAAGAAGGAAAGATCATTACAGTATTCCATAAAATAAGACTAGTTGCCATTTAAAGCAATAAAGATACTGATCTATGCCATGTTTTATTTGATCACATACAGATGAGATATGTAATGTATATCTTCAACAAAAAGGCAAAATGAGCAGATTTTAATTAAAAATAAAGAAATCTGAAACAATATGTTCTTTTGCTTTCTATCAAACATAGGTTATCACAAGTGAAAATAGAAACAAGCAATAGCTATTGGTTTGGTAGGAATATGCATAGCTCAGCCATGATCCTTACTGTAAAAATTCACTTGATTTTTGATTGATCAATCTCAAACTGTGGTTTTAGGAATGTTTCAGAGTCTGGATCAGCTGGTTTACGAGCCTTACTTATTTCGTCTTTCTTCAGTATTGATGATAAACCCTTGCATGGCATCCTTGACTCTTGCTTTCACAAGACTGTCCACAAACTTGCGGTCATTGTGCTGGTCCCACTCAACTTTCAAGCGATCCCGCTCGTTTGACTTAATGGAAGCCAAAATAGCATGATGCTTCTGATGGCTGCGTCGGATTCTTTCCAGATGATGTTCAGCCCCTTGGCCTTTGGGAGGCTTGGCTCTCTGAAAACAAATAGCAACTATCACTTATGATAGACCCAAAATCGATTGCATATTTTCAATTAATCATGACCTCCACCAATACTCATATTAATCAAAACTTGGTATATAAAACTAATACATCCTGCTACAACTGCAAACAACTTAGGTGCCTAAGATGTAACTTGTTTGATTCTTTGAACCTATACCTAAGATGTCATCAAATCAGTCTCAAATATTTCTCAAATGCCATTTGAGTAAAAGTTCATGGAATTATAAAGTTAAAAATTTGAACAGGGCTCCAGAGATTATCTAGTCAATAGATAATTGACTAGATAATCTCTGGATTATCTAGATAAGTTATAACTTAACAATAGATAAGTTATTTGCTCAAAGTGCTTTAAATAGTTAGGGCAAAAAAAAAAAATAGTTAGGGCAGACCTGGATAGAACAAGAATTAGTTCCTGACCTTAATCTTGCCACCAACTACCCCACATTGTTTCTCAGGGGTGGACAACATAGTTACCGACATAAAAATTCTTTCAATTAAGAGACTACTATCTAAGTGTAAGGATATATCAATATATAACAAGTTGTGACAATGAAAAACCCTTTACTAAGAAGGAAGCAAGGAAGATAGAAAGGGAGGGAGGGAAAGAAGGAAAAGAAAAGCGGGAAAAAAAAAAACCCTAGTGGTAGAACTTTTTTCCTATTTCTATTGTGCCCAGAAGTTTAATGTAAGAGCCGTGCTCCTGACATTTTGGGGTAAATTGAATTTCTGTAAATATGTTCATTTTATACAAACTTCCACCAGAAAGTTGGAAATGCATACATCATTGTGAATACATATTGACACATTTAATAAAATCATATGGACTATATCTTTTTCATTTCTGTATTCCTAGCAATGAACATGCCTACCAGCATCAGGTTCTCAATATGAATGGGAAAGATGAATGAATGAAACAATGTTTATGGGTGGGCTTGATGTGATTCCTGCTCCTCCTGGGCCACCATGAAATCCATGGTCTTGAGCTTTGTATTTTCAGCCAGTTTTAGCAAATCATCCTTAGGTGAGTAGTGAGACTCTGGTGTGCTGATTCACAGTAACAAAACTTTTTTTTTTGCGGTAAGCGGGCCTCTCACTGTTGTGGCCTCTCCCGTTGCGGAGCACAGGCTCCGGACACGCAGGCTCAGCGGCCATGGCTCACGGGCCCAGCCGCCCCGCGGCATGTGGGATCTTCCCGGACCGGGGCACGAACCCATGTCCCCTGCATCGGCAGGCAGACTCTCAACCACTGCGCCACCAGGGAAGCCCAGGAACAAAACTTTTAACTCATGTGGCAGAGTCAATCTGATCATTTACACTTAGAATTGGGACTTGGTAAGGGAATCTCCTAGGGAAAGAAAATCAACATTTGAAGATAGCTTCATGAAAAGATTCAGGGCTCAGGGTATATATATATATATATATACACACACCTAGATTAGTTGAATAAGATAATACAAAACTGAGGTAGGTTGGAGACAAAAGATGATACTGAGGGTTACATCATGGGAAGTAGCTAATTCATATCCAAATTATTTAGAGCCTAGATTTAGTTAACAAACTACTGTTCTCTAATACATAAAACATTTTATGAATGTGGATTCAGTGACAACAAAGCAGAGCTGGGTCAAGACTGCACCCTGGGCAGGATATACATAGGAACTCACGCTCCCAGTAGACAGATGGGCTGAGAACAGGAACCAAGCACCAAGGTCATAAGGAATCAATTGTCAAATTGTCAGGGCAAGAACCAGGTTCTGAGGTACATTTTGACTGAAGAGGGGGATGGGGGTGGAGGGTGGTGAGAAACAGCCTGAGCAGTAGCTGGGGATTAGGAAGCCCTTTAAGGCTTGGGCATCCTGTGTAGGACTTTGTGATCAGGAAGGACCTTATCTCTGGATGAACAGGTATGATCTGGAGTTCTCTAACAACGAGGTGGTGCCAATCCATGCAGTCTTAGCATTATGTAATCAAAACCTGTCCTGTTTAACAGAAATATAATATAAACCAGATATGTAATTTAATAACATTTTCTAGTAGCTGTATTTTAAAAAGTAAAAAGAAACAGGGGAAATTAATTTTAATAATATATTTTTATTTAACCAATATATCCAAAATATTATCATTTCAACATGTGACTCTACGCATAGTTCAAGTGCTCAAAAGCCATTTGTGGCTAGTGGCCACCATAATGGACACTGCAACTCTTAAACCATGCTAAATTCAGAACAAAGGGTTTAATAACTACTCTGTACTTTCAAGGTCACTGAAGGCTTTTGTTACTGCAACATCTCAAATTAGTTTCTACTATTACAGTTTAATGTCTTAAAGAATGATGTCTTACAGCCTAGGTTTGATCCTGGCCTCTACTGATTACTAATTGTATGATCTTGAGCAAGTTACTTAATCTTTTTAAGTCACAGTTTTCTCACCTGTCAAAATGAGCAAAATAAATGTCCTCCTAAAAAATTATTTCAAGAAGTAAATAACTGGGTTCCTAGGAGGCACTCACCAAATAGCCGCTCCTTTTGCTTCTCCATTACTTCAGACATTTCATCTTTCACCAACTTCTCCTGGAGGAATTGTTTAGCATCCAAGTCTCATCTCTGGTGGCTTTAATTCTTCTCCCACCACAACTCTGCAACCTCTAACATCCACACTTCTTATCACACTCTGACATCTGAGATACACCAGCTCTGACCTCTTCCTTTTCCTCTTTATTCTTCTATAAACTTAAAGTATTCAATAGGCCTCCTTCTCCGGTTTGGTGGTAATTTGGTGGAACAGAAATCCTTATTGGTTCCCAACACAAGTAATATCACCTGACCAATGGCCCAGCCCCTGAGCTCAGTGTTCGCATACAGAACCCAAAGTACATCAATTTCTGTCCCTCATAAAGTCTGTCTATAATGATCACCTTGAACCGTACAGACTGTAAAAGACTCCACTCTACTGATTTCCAAACCCAGATCCTACAGTCCCTGGACCTAAAAAAGAGGGGGCATTGAGAACTGCTATGCGCACTATGGAGCATAATAAAACTGCACCCTTCATTATCCCTGATATTTCTTCCACAATGTTCCAACACAGACAGTATAGCACATCATTATCTACTGTGTTAACCTTTGATGGTTTTGTGCATGAGCAAGTTTTTTCTGCAGTTAGATGATAAGCAACGTGAAGGCAGGGATCAGACTTCTAAAGAAGGGTAAACCTCCCAGGGTCACTGTATTCACCCCTGTATTTTCCACAGAGCTGTGCACACAGCAGGGGCTCAAGTAATACCTCTATAATTGCCTGCCTACACGTGGTTTTCTAGCCTGTAGAAACCAGTGTGTAGAAACAAAGGTGCATGGACCAAGCGTCTGGGGTTCTGAGCAGGATCTGCAGCACGCAGCATTCCCCTGGCCTCCTACCACCTCCCCTGCCTTAAAGGCAACCAACCTCCTATTCCCAGGCCTGCAGGGACGCTTCTGTTATGGTTGAGTCAGCAGAGAAAGGGCTCTATAACCACTCACAACCCCTCACAGCCCAATACTCCTTCAACAGACGATTTTCCTAGGCGTGTAGAACTAGCCCAAGACCGTACAGCTGCATCACTGCCAGCCCAGACCCCAGATTTCCTGCCGCCTGACCCAGCACCGTTTCCTTGACACACCCTCCGCATTGCAAAGGGACGACCTCTTTCAGCAGTCTTGGAAGACTGAAAACTCTCAAGATCTAAAGTGGTGTTTCTCCAAATACAGAAAGTAAATATTATATGACGCGGGGGGTTGGGGGGTAGGGAGGGACGGAGTACGAGAGCTAGGCAAGAGACCTTATCCTTCCCTCTTTCAAAATTCAAGCTGCTGCATCAAGCACCTGCTTCCCTCGAGAGAGCCCCTGTTGGGGGCCAGGGTGGGCTGCGCTGAGTTGGGGGAGATGCAGAAAGCGGTAGGGTCCCGCACACACATCCCGTGCTTACCACGATCACCACTTTGGGAGTGGGGCCCTTAACCTCCCGCTGTACGATGCCAAATCGCTGGCTGTACATTTTCGAGTCCCCTCGGGTTGGGGGCGGCGCCCGCCGCGGTTCCCCAACCACAGCGACCTGAGGGACCAGATTCCGCGACGCAGAGGTCCGGTTGCCATGGTGCGCCTCGCGGGGATCAGGGCAGGTGAGTGGGGCGGAAGTTGGTCCCGTCACCATGGTGACCATAGACTCCAGCACTCACGACTTCCTCTGGGAGTGGAAAAGCTGAGTCTGCGCAGTCCTCTCCCCGCCCTCCGCCAGGCCTCCCGCCGACCTCACTCCCTTCTTCCAGGGTTCATCAAATAGCAGAAAAAGAGCCTCCTTAACCCGAAGTTTAGTCGAAGATCTAACTACATTCCAATTGACTTTTCTATTTATATCTTGTAATCGGTCTAAAAGCATGAGAAAGGTTAGTGGGCATTTTGTTGGTAGGCTAAAATTTGAGGCCATCTCTAAGTTAATCTTCATGACATAAATCATCACAAGACAACCTTATTCGCGTAGTTCTTTACAGGAATTTACAAGTTATTTTCACACATAAAACCTCTGAGCCTCACAAATATCTTACAAGATTGATGGAACAGCGGGTATTATCCTCATTTTACAGCTAAACAATTAAAGCTGAGAGAGCCTGTTTTGTCAGCCAACTCAACCAGTAATGACAAATTTGTTAATAAAATCAGGAAACCAGGGCTTAGACTTGAGGTACCCTAGGATGGGGGGCAATCAGATGGGCTGGTACGGCAGTGACACGACCTGGCTGGGCACAATAAAAACTAGGGCCAGGGGGAGGATGTGGATTAGAATTGCAGGTGATCGGGCTCTGAGATTCCAGATCCCAGGCAGGAAAACAACACAGGTCAGGAAACCTAGAAGGGGCCCTCAGCACAGGTGGAGACCACAGCTGTACTTCTGGTCAAGAGCAAGGTGGTAGTTAATACCTAAAAGCCAAATAACACTTTGGTACTCTTTCTATAGTGGGGGTGAACATAGAACCAACACTACAACACAAAAAAAATCAGCACCTAGTCGGTCACTGACGTGTAATAACCAAAGTACAACTAGTACTGTGCATCCCATCTTAAGACCGCAATTTACGGTAAATTAGCATTGCTTAATCATTTGTAATGCGCCCACTTCGGATTTTGTAGGCAGTAATGTTTCTAGGTTTGGACTCCATTTCCTGAATTGCTGGTTCAGGCTTTCAGCCACAAAACAGTGTCTCTCTTCTCTTTCAAAATTTCTTTTAATAATTCTCTCATTTTGTCTTTTATGTCCTATAAAGCTTCTTCCTTCAACTGCAGTTCGGAAAAATACTCATTTTCATTTACTGCTAAGAGTTTACGTAGCCTGAAACAAACAAAAAAGAAAGAAATTAGATGGTTGTCTCCGTTCCCTGGACACGGTCCTGAGGGCCAGTTCCTTGATCTTCGATTCCCACGGGTGCCTGGCCCGCCGGCTGGTCTGAGTGGAAGCACCCTGACACCACACCCTTGGGCAAGAGAGGCGACGAAAACGCCCTCGGCCTAGGAGCGGGTTTTGGTAAAAGCCACTGAGATCCTTGGGCGCCCGTCGGTAACCTCCGAGGTCTACACCCTGGAGTTTTCAGCGACAGACAGGGGAAGCAGACCCTTGGCAATACCCGGCTGCCCTGCACATCCCAGCGTTGGTCCTGAGCTCGTCTTGCCGCGCCCTCACCCTGGGCGTGTCCCGTAACTTAATTCCGCTTCGGTTTTACCTGTTGAGCCACTTTGTGAAGAGGGGATTCGGCTTCCCACCGTGACGGCTCGGCTTGGGAACAGAAGCCTGGACCCAGCGGAGGCCACGCCCACGCCCCAGGGCCGCCCAGGCAGGCGGGTGAGGGGCAGCGTCTCCCGAGCCCCGGTGGGAGGACCGCGGTCCGGGCGCCGGAGCCCCCTGGCGGGCCTATTCAGTGGGTGGAGGGGCTGGGCCAGGCGCCAAGCCCGGTGAGACGAGGCTTTCAACCAAGTCTCAACCTCCTGGGAGGCCTAAGAGAAGTGATTCACCCAAGGTCCATGGACAGAACCTGACCTTGCTCTTGCCACCCATTATACCACTTTCTCAGAGGCAGTCAATCAACACTTAAGCACCATCAAGACTCTCCAAAAGAAACACTAAGTGTATAAATCAGTAAACGGGACAATAAAAATCATTTAAAAATAATTTTAAAATAGAACAGCATAGAGATAGAAACTATTTATATTATTTCCAATGCCTATTGTGCCCCAACAAGGTTCACGCAAGGGCTGTCCTCCCAACAGTTTCCTGAATTCTGTGTTTTCACCATTAAATTCCACGATAAAGTTGGAAATCCATTCACCATTTGTAAATACATATTGATGTATTTAATAAAACTGCATGGACTATATCTTTTTCATTCCTGAATCCCAGTATTAAGTACAGTGCCTACCATGGGCCAGGTTCTCAATACTTGAATGACACAAAAATAGCCGAGACCAGCAAGTTTTTTCTGGGTGGGCTTGACAGAATTTCTGTACTTGCTGGGGTCACCATGAAATCCATGGTCTTCAGCTTTGCATTTTCAGCAACGCAGCTTTATCAAGTTATCCTTTATCCTCAGGTGAGTAGTGAGACCCTTGGGAGCTGATTCATGGCAGGGTGGCTTTGTAACGTGTCACCTTGACTAGGCTACGTTTCCCAGTACTCCCTTCCCCGTACGCTTCCGGTTAGGATGGGCCACAAGAGACATTTTGCGTGATATCTGGAGGGCAGAAGTGAAGCAGCAGCACACTTGGAAGGTTGGTGCAGGGGCACCAGGCACTGTTGCAGTTCACACATGTCATTTATCTGCTGGCTCACCTCGTTGGTATGGGGCAGCAGTCAGGCCTGCAGCCAGGCCTGCAGCTGCTCCACCTTCCCCAGGATCTTCCTTCAGCTTCTCTAATTCCTGGCCCAGATGCATATTTAACTCTGTGATGAAGGGCACCAGCTTCTTCTGCAGGAAACCCACATCATCGAAGTTGGAGGTGGTGAGAGGCTGACATGGGTTCCGGGCCATCCGCGTGGTTTGCAGCTCGTGCTCGTGGGCGCCAGTGTCTCCTCGGTCTCCCACTCTTTACATCCATCTTCCCTTCCCGATTGCCTGCCCTGCAGACTTCAAGCTCCAGCATTAGATGTAAAAACAACAGCCTTACAGAGACTGTTCAATCAGCTCCCACAACTGCATATGGTCAAATCCCTACAATAAATCTTTTAATATACATATTTATATGTACATATACACATAAAATCTTTATATTAGTGATGCTGCTTTTCTGACTGTATCCTCATACACACAATAACCAAACTCTTATCTCATGAATCAGAATGCTATTCAAATAAACTTCACTTAGGACATCACTGTCAAAATACCACTAGAATACTAGGGTTGAGTGGTTGGATCCTTGGGCGGGGGAGCAAAACAGTATCAATAAAATTATCCAGTCTTGCCTCTGGCTGAAGTAGGCAGGGTGAGGCAACGGAAGGAGCAGAGGAGGGTGGCAGAGGGCTATATAATGAGTTAAACTAAGGAAAAGTTTAATCTACATCTGAATTATCTAAAGCTGCAGGGCTGGGACTAGAGTAAGGCAAGCGAAGCACATAGGCTACAAAATTTAAGGAGGGAGGCATGCACTCAGTCCTGCCACTGTAAAGCTAACTAAGTAACGAATCACAGGTCTAATCTTCTTGGCACTTTATGCAGAATTGGAAAGTGAGGCAGGGCTGAGCCAAGACTGGCCCTTAGGCAGGACTTGTAGCAGGAACTCGGACTCCTAGTAGATAGGGGCTGAGAGCAGAAACCAAGCACAAAGGTCACCAAGGGACAGGGGATTCGAGTTGTGAGGAATGATGAGCCAGGCCAGGAGCTTTACTTCTGAAGGCTGCTTTGGCTGAGGACGGGGAGTGACGGTAACAAGCAGCGCCAATGGGGAAAGATGCCCTTTGGGTTTGAGGGATCCTATGCAGCACCCAAGGCCTGGGAAGAACCCAGTCTCAGGAGTCGCGGGTGCTCTGATAAGGTGGCACCATCCACAATGCCCTGGTGCTCCCTAAACCACCCTAAGGGCAGCAGTGTTAAGGGATTTGTTATAAAGCTTAGAGTAATCCACCTTGTTTTCAAGGTCACTGACAGGAAACTTGCGTTAATATAACATTATTACACACTATTAGATATAGGTTATAGTTAACAGTTTAGTGGCTTAACTTAGGACAAGGCTTTTACAACCTGGGTCTGATTCTAGGCTCTATCAATATTAGCTGTTCAACACTGGACAAGTTATGTAGTTTCTCTGCATCTCAGTTTTCCTGTCTGCAAAAATGGGCAAAACCAATGCCTTTCTAGAAAGATGTTTCTGAGGACTAAACTAGGTCCATGGGAGGAACTCACCAAATAGCAGTTCCTTTCCTCATTTATTCACATTACATTCCCAATTGCTGTCTCCCTGAGGAAATGTTTAGTCACGGCCAGGTCTCATCCAAATGTATTTAAAATTATTTATGATGATGGCTTGTTTAGGCTGAAGGTGGCTTTAATTACATCCCATCCCAACTCCCCCATCCTTAATATCCACACTTCTCAGGCTCTTGGGATTTGCACCGGTTGGAGCAGGTGCACCAACTTTCTACTCTTTTCCTTCCTTTTCTGCTTACTTCCTCTATAAGCTCAAAGTACTGAACAGGCCTGCTCCTCTGGTTTGGTGGTAGGTTTTCCCAGTTCCTACTGACTCCCACACAAGCCCTGGCAATCCATCTATGGTCCAGCCTCTGAGCAGATCAGTGTTGTCTCTCATAAAGTCGGTCTGTAAATATCACCTTGAGTCCTACAGTCTGCAGAAGCCTCCAGTCTACTGCTTTCTAGCTCCAGGTTTTTTAAGGTCCTTGGACCTAGAGAAGAGGGAGCAGGTCTGTATGTTGAATGAGGTTCCCTATGTGCAAAATGGAGCATCACAAACCATTCCCTACTCTTCCATTTCCCCTTAATTTTCCCTTCTCTCTTCTAAAATCTTCCATTACAGACAATGTAGCACATCAAGCACATCATTACCTTCTCCAGTAATATGTAATGACTTCATGCATAGGGGAAATAAGTCTCCCCAGTTGGATTATAAGCTCCCTGATGGCAGAAATCCTGTATCTTCTGAAGGATAAGCCTTCCAGGGTCATTGATTCACCACTGTATCTGCCACACTGCAGTGTACCCAGAAGGGCCGCAATCAGT